GAAGGGTCGCCAGAAAGTCCAAAAATTAGTACCTCAAATGCGATTCTATTCAAGATGCTGAAGTATGCAAAGCCTTTCTGACAGAAGGTCCTCGTTGGTGTTTAAAGTGACCTGGAACCTTAACGGTGGACAGTGATATGCCAGATGGAGCCACGACTAAACGTAGCAGACAGGTCTCTCTCTCATTCCGTTCCTTTGGGTCCTCCTCATAGCTGCAGTTGCGAGCCTCTCCGACTGGACGGCCTTCAGATGGAAGTGGGCAACTAATTTGCGCTGATGGCTCAACCCCTCTGTTGGCATTGTCAAACGAAATTTACTGCCACTGCCACTTTGCAGCGGGAAAACTTCTCCGCCAGCCTGCAAAGGCAGCTGGACTCTCAAACGCTTACCACGTCCTCTCGGTTTGCATTGAAGACACACAATTGTCTGCAAACCCTTTAATCTGAACCCGGGCGCCGCATAAAGGCCACAAAATCGCGATTCTATGTGCCAAGTGGCTTTGGCAAGATGGTTCAGATTTGCACAAAACCCGCCCACGGAAAGATGGTAATGGCAACCCGTATGAAGGTTACTATGACTGCGCCTATTTTTTTTGTGAAAAGCTCATGGGAAGCAAAAAACCACCACTGCCACCCGGTTGCGATAAGGATCTGTTCAAAATAAACGCACACATACACACACACATGGAAGGGAACATGAAAAGGGGTGAATGAGATAGCATTGCATTGTAAAGCATCCGAATCCGGACCTCCCTTTGTTGTATTGCTCCAACTCTTTCCCTTTTGTTGGTGGCTTCGGGGAGGGAGAGAAGGGGAGCGAATGGTTCTGTTCGCACCACCATTTGATGTTGGCTGTCACGTCTTGTTGGAGCCTTGACCCGTGATAACTTTTCCCATCCAAGTCTGAATGATTTGTGCATCAAGGGTTTCTGACTCGACAACCCTTCAGCACTACTCAACTTCACCAGGTTCCAAATGAAAATCACTCTTGCTTGTTTTTCTCACCTTAATGAAGTGCCCTTCTACTTGGGTGTTTTTGTTGCTTCAGACGATGTCCCGAAATTCCAGACAAACCGGTGTCCTAGGCAGTATTCACGGTTCAACCACGGGTATTCGAATGGCTGGTAGCCTTCAATACGACGCGGACAGCGGAGATTCAGGTCGCGGTCCTTCCGAAGACGGCAACCAGCTGATGATGTTGGAGAATCAAAGAGGTGAGTTTGGAACTAACAACTTGCTACTTTACTACCACTTTTTCTGTCTACTAAGTGATGAGGGTGGGGTATTGTCCTGAAAGCCTTTTTCTCCTCATCTGCCCATTCCACTTGCAACGGTTGAACTTGACTTGATCATTAGAATTGACAAGAAGAGGCACAATTAAGCCACCAGATGTGGAAATAATTAAATCGGAGCGTTTGTCTCTACGACTACTCTTCCCCATGCACCACTGCGGTGTTGAGATTGCTCAAGCGGAACAATGGTTGGTGGTCCTCCTCCTTGGCGAAGGTGAAGCTCCGCTCTGTTTGCTGTTGTCAACGTTTATACACCTTAAATGCCTTTTAGACATATTCACGAATCCTAAGTGGTGTAACATTGCCCTTATCGTCGCCATCATCATCTTCTTCTTCATTGCCCTTCTTCGCCACTCCTGCGTGGATGATGTGGCTGGTTCACTACTCAGCCTCGGCGGTCCTAGCAGACTCGGCATTTTAACGTTAGCCACATTAGTTAAAGACATGCTATTTTTTTGCAAGAAAAAAAATGTGCATGGGCATTTCCCATCGCTCTGTTGCCAATGCAGTACCTCAATTCCTCCTGAAGGCGTGGCTAGGAGCATTTTTTTATAAGTGCTATTCATATCAATATGAAGCTCTTCCGGTCCCATTAAAAGAGGGGGAA